TACATGCACCAGGGCACATCACACGTGCGCCAGGGCACGTCAAACGTGCACCAGGGCACGTCATACATGCACCAGGGCACATCACACATGCACCAGGGCACGTCACACATGCGCCAGGGCACATCACACGTGCACCAGGGCACATCACACATGCACCAGGGCACATCACACCTGCACCAGGGCACATCACACGTGCACCAGGGCACATCACACGTGCACCAGGGCACATCACACGTGCACCAGGACACATCACACGTGCACCGGGGCACCGGCCTACAGGGACGTGATGCACATACACAATATACACATAGCACACAAAACAAACGACACACACACAGACACGCACATGCACACACACACACACACACAGACCCATACACACAAACACATGTACACACACATGTACACACACACACACACACACACACAGACATACCTGCACACACACACACACACACACAGACCCACTACACGCAACTATACATATGTACACACATACACACACAGACATATGTGCACACACACATGCATTCTAGCCTCCATTGGTAGTACTGTTTTCTGATTATCAACATAGATTGAATGGTCTGATCAAAGACCTAGTCCTACCTGGTTGAGGAATGTTGCAGTGAAGGAGATCCCAAACTTGGTTGGGACGGCCGCCAGCCCACGCTTCTTCCACCTGTTCTCCCTGTGATAGAAAGTCAAAAAATAATAAGTAAAAATAAGAGCCATTGTTTTACCTGATCAAGAAATGATCCAAAGGCGATACCGAACTTGGTTGGGACTGCTGCCAGCCCACGCTTCTTCCATCTGTTCTCTCTGTGGGAGATAATCAAACAATAGTACAGTATTGTACATATAGAATTCAAATGTACAACATGGTGTATTTTGTATCAGCCAGGGTACAAACCACACTGGGTCACCCCTACTCTTTTTGACGAGGGAGTTGGTAACTGAGCAACAGCTACCTGTGTTCCACGTGTATTGCACTGTTTCAATTTCAACAAGAATTCGGAGACCTCATATACCTCCATGAAATATATGAGTTTTTTTATATGATTTTACACAGTACACTACACTACAGTACAGAACAAAATAACACAGGTTTTTGGTTTCAAGCAGTAGCACCTTTGGCCTGGATATGGTCATGTAGGCTTTTCCCATGGGAGAAACTCATTCATCAAGCCAGGCGGGCGTTGCCTCCACCCCGCACATCTGTTTTCCCTGCCACCCCGCACATCTGTTTTCCCGGAAGTTCTGCTGCAGTACCAAGGTCAGCTACCAGGAGGCCCATATTTGACCTTGACCTTTGGCTTTCTAAGACCTACCAGCATACCAAATATCATCACAATCCATAAAGCGTTATGAAGTTATGCTGACTACAAATGTGCGGAAACACACACACACACATACACACACGCACGCACACACACACACACACACACACACACACACACACACACACACACACCAACCAAAAACAATACCTCCATTTTTAATGGAGGTAATAAATCAAAATTAATCAAACTCACCCATTGAACCTATTGACCTGTCTGCGCCTGGTATGGAAGTCGCTCTTCTTCACACACTCCTGCCAGCAACGCTCCATCTGGCACCGCTCCAGCTTCATGTTGTAGTGAGTCAGGTCTCCCTCCCTGTTCATGTTCAGTTCTCGCACCTGTTGGTAATAATGATAATAATAATAACCAGGGACATGTTGGCAATGAGATGAGGGTTTGTATAAGTTATGGGGTTAGGCAGCAGGGAGAAGGTTAAACTTCATGTTGTAGTGAGTCAGGTCTCCCTCCCTGTTCATGTTCAGTTCTCGCACCTGTTGGTGATAATAATAACAACCCAGTGTTGACGTCACACTTCAAAGAAGCCATAATGATTATATAAGCTTCACTGGGTCAGTCTACTGAGGAAGACCAGAGTGACTGGTCGAAAGCTGTAGGTGAAAGAACTTTGTTGTGTTGGACCAAAAGTTTTAACCTTTAACAAACAATAATTTTGACAGCTCTAAGTGCGAAATGTGCTGATGTTGGCACATTGGCGCACCAAATCTGTAGCGTGTTTTTGGCACACATTTTGACAGAGTAGCCTAAGAGGCTTGGTGGGCATTTAGTGGTCCCTTCACTTTTCTAGGGCTGGCTGGGTGTTGGGCAGGTGGCCAACCATAAACCAATTTAATAAGGCTATTAATTTTTTTTGCCACTGATGTATTTCCTCCTGAGATCGAGATACGTACCTTGAGTTGAGAGATGCCACACTTGATAGCCACATCAGAAATCCAACCCTCTGCAAAGAAAAGCCCCTGGGGACCGCCGAATCCTCGGAAGGCCGTGTTGGACACGGTGTTGGTCTTACAGACGTAGCCGACAGCACGGACATTGGGAATGGTGTAACCGCCGTCGGAGTGGAATAGGGCTCGATCCATAACCTGCAAACACATTTAACGTAAACTGCTGAGCAATGGACCTATCACATTATTACGTCACAGTTTGTTTACCGCAATGAATGCCGGTCAATCGACGTTTGTATTGTACAGGGGTGCATAGTGCGGTGTGTGTTTGTGTAGTGTTAGCCTTAATATAAGGCTTTTAATACAGTACTACTTTTGCATAATGCCACAACTAAATCACCCATTACGGCATGTAATGCTGTGTGAACAAAACTAGACGCAGCAAAAATCAAACATGACTTTAAAAACTTTGAAATGATCTTTATTCTTTAACTGACCATTCTTGAATGTTCTTTAGAACAGGTAAACAAACTGTGACGTAATTATGTGATAGGTCCATTGAAATGCTGATGTTGTCAACTAATAAAATCTATATCCACTAGAATAGTTTGCTTATATATTTTTTAATGCAACCGTCTCTTACTATTTGAGATCTTATTTCAGTTTGAGGTTCATATGAAATATGCCTTCTTAAGCTTAACAGGAAAGTTTTGTTTTTTTCATCCCTGTCCCTGTTTTTTTTCCTTTCTTAGGCCATGTTGATTTGATTATATGGATGACATCCTCCGGGAGCCCCAAAACTGATGCGCGCGTGCGAATAAAAAAAAAGTTTTGCAAAAAAAAAGTTCTTTTTATTATGAAATCTACGTGGTCATGAGGGTTGAGCAAATGGCACAGAATATGGTTTGGCTAATAATCTAGTCTTCAAGTTCATTTCTTTACAATTTCGTCTTTTTTCGTTTGATTTTGGCATTCTACGACATTGGTATAGTTTTTATTAAATTTTTTGGTAACTTATGGTATATTTTTGCTCTTTTTGCAACTGTTTTGTACAATTTACAGTATGGTTGAAAACTTTTTTTTTTTTTGAAACGGCAGAAAATTCATGCGCGCGCGGATGTCATCCATATAATCAAATCAACATGGCCTTATCAAATTAAATATGCACATTGAGGAAGCCAAAATTGCCAAGTAATGGCTAGTAGAATAGAGATACAGCTCCATATGATACACATCAACCATTAATCAGAAAGCTAACTTAAAAAGTACATGTGGGAAGTTTTTGTTTTGAGCGTTACTACTTACCCCACGAGACAGGTCCAGAGAGTTCCCTGCATTATTGTACAGACTGATGTCCAGTGCCACAACTCTCCCGTCATTCATGAACCCAACCTGCAGAATGCAGCAGCAGGGTTAGGTCTTACTTTTCTCAAGAACAACAACGTAATAAGTTTCTTGTTGTGCTCTTGACAATAGACTGGGACGGAGACTGGAAACTGCCTTTGGTACTAGTTTAATCCAGAAGTTTTACATGCCCGTAGCCAGGGGGGGTTTGGGGGGTTCAGAAGAACCCCCTCCCCCACATTAGGCTCAAAGGTCCACTTTTTGGTCCACTTTTTATGTAAAGGTCCACTTTTTGGTCCACTTTTTGTAAAGGTCCAAGATTTTTCTTGAAAAGATGGACTGGAATCGTAGAAAAACTGCTCCCTTTGTCATTGGATAAGAATTTATCTCTGATTTTTTCTTGGAAATCCTCTCAAAAATGCACAAAATGCCATTTTAGAAGGTTCATTTTTCAAAATTTTCCGGGGGAGCATGCCCCGGACCCCCCTAGAAACCTAAGGCACTCGAGGTCCCCTCCAGCAGTGGGAAGAAACCCCCCATTCAAAATCCTGGCTATGGGCATGTTTTAGTAGAGGATATTTTGGATATGGTACAATAAGACATCAGGATAACTTACTTGTGACAGTGTGGTGCTTAGTTTTGGGTGGCTGGATCAAAGATGGGTGACTGAACTCTGGTCCTAAGTTACTTCAGGGTAAAAATCCCATTCAAGAATACAAGAGCAGCAGTTTAGTATAGTTTTACTAGAGAGCATAGAGGAATGTAATCAAACGTACTTCATGAAAGCAATGCAAATAAAGAGAATCAGACAGAAAGACTGACCAAACAAGTGAATCCTGAGCATTCTGTGGTCAGGCAGTTTCGAAGAAGGATAGTCATGGGAAGATTCCAAGCAAGCTTGACACAGTGAGTGAGTGAGATAGTGAGATAGTGAGTGAGTGTGTGAGTGAGTGAATGAACGAGTGTGTGAGTGAGCTCAACACAGTGACTAAGCAAGTGAGGGAGAACTAGTCTATGTCTAGATTTCAGCTTAAAATCAGTCACCTTGTATCTACTCAGGAAAGGATGCCTTGTTCCTATCATCATCATATCCTCATCTCTGTCCAACATGATCCTCACTGGCCGCTGAGCCCTGACAGGAAAGAGACAGAACAAGTGTCATCACACATGGGGACAAATGTCGGGTCACTTCTGTCTCTCTCTCTCTCTACAATCCAAGGATACTAAGGAACAATTGACAATGACAGATCACATAAGACTAAAACGTTGAAGACTTTCCACATGGAGACCATTTCAAAGGGATGATCATGACTTTGCTGTACTCAAGCTAGAGAAACGTTTTGTAGCCTCTCAGAGAAGATATTGATTGCCTGACAGGAGAGATAGAACAGGTGTGATCACAAAGGGTCACCATTGTCTCATTTTACAATTGAGTTGAAGACTCTGAGCAAAAGCTATCAAATCAAATCAAATCAAATCATATGATGCTCATTAAAAGAAATCATCATGTCCTTTGTAGTATACAACCTGTTTAGTTGTGGCCTTCTATCTGTGATGATATTTTGGATATGGTACAATAAGACATCAGGATAACTTACTTGTGAGCTGCCACAGCACAGACTGAACTGACAACACATGTTCGTGTCTCCTTCCCTCCAAACCCTCCACCTATACAATGGTATAGCAACAAACATTACATACCGGTATATCATATTGTACAAAAACATATAACCTTACAGTCAAACTTACGTCTTCACAACCATTCAATGGGCTGAGGAAAATTTGGTTGGTGTCTGGGGATGGTTGCTCCAGAATATCTAAAATTTGGACAGAACTTTGCAGGGACACCAGGTCACCGAAATGCCGGCTGAATAAAGGACTTAGTTGTGTAGAAAAAGTCTTTTTACTCAGTGACTTACCAACCTGATGAAAATATTCATGAATTTGGACAGAACTGTTTTAAAGTGATGCTTATGAATGGAAGTGGTGGGCTGGCCAGTTTTGACTGTATTGGGAAATGTATGATTTACATGTACCCGTAATAATGCTTGTCAGTGAAAATCACTACTAACAGCTATGGAGTTAGTATATGAGGGTGAAAATACCCGAAGGAGTGATGTATCACACTTCATTCAAAAACAAGTATCACAAATGGTGTCAAAAATATTCCCTACTAAATATTCCTAGTATCCATTATGCACAGTTTGATGGAGAATCCTGCTAAGAAAAGACAACAAGGTTTCCTCACCCATCCTCTTCACCCGGCAGACCACCCTGTTTGCAGGGACACCCAGAGCCTTGGCTGCCAGCATCTAGTGAACAACAGCATCACAACTTCGAATAAAAGCTCATCTGTGTTGGTAGAATCCATAGTTGTAAAGTTCAATCTTGGTTCCAACACTTTAGTTGTCATGTTTCCGACTTTCAGAGAGTCAGAGAGTGCATCACACATCTGACGAATAAGATTGATGAGATTGACCAAACATTTTTGGTGAGTTCCTTTCTTATGTTGGAACAAAGCTTGAACTTAAAAACTGAGCATCACAACTTATTTCTGATAATTTCAAAGATGTATAATGCACACTAACACACGTGAAGGGAAGCTTTCTATCTCATAGTCATGTAGCAAGAACACCACAGATTTCAGCACCAAGGACAGTCCTCTCATTATCTCATCCATACCAGCGATTGTCATGTCGTCACAGAAGGCAAAAAGCACTGGCGATGGTCGGCTGATTTGCCCACCAATAATTTTCATTTCTTCAAATAATTTGCATCTATATTATGTAAACAAAAACAGCAATCGCTTGTATAGTTGGTTCAAATGCCAAACCAATCTTTCAACCTATCCTTTCACACTAATGACTTCACTGTTAATTTTGAGTCAGCAAAATTTGAGTACTAGTACCAACGAGGTTATATCAAATTTTATCTTTACTGTAGCGTTTTTAACAACCTTTCGATAAATTACTTTTTAAAGATATTTGAAGTGTTTGTAATACTAGTATGGTGTATATAAGATTTAAAACAATTGTTACATTTTATCCCTATGTGTGTAAACAGCTGTGTGTTGCATTTGTAATTGCAATTGTATTTTGTAACTAGACCCAACAATTCAGCCGAATGCATCTCGGCTGCCAGCGGGTCCTGGGATTTATTTGTTCAACAACAATAAACCAGTCTATATAAAAGTTCCTGTAACCTGTGTCTTGGATTTCAGCACCAAGGACAGTCCTCTCATTATCTCATCCCTACCCTAATGCCTTGTGATGCAAAGGGCAGTAAATCTTGGAGAGTAATAAGGCCATGTTTATTTGATTATATGGATGACATCCGCGCGCGCATGAATTTTCGGCCGTTTCCAAAAAAAAAAGTTTACTAACCATACTGTAATAC